AGGGGGCAGCTCAAACTTCACATGCAGCCCGGTGGAACAGCAAAAGACCAGAGCCAAGTGACTAGGGATTAGAGTTGGTTGGGAATTTTTCATCAACTTTTATTTTTCTGATGAAAAAAAGCTATTTCATCAAAGCCAAAGCTTTTCACTGGAAAGGGTTGGTTAGAAAAAATGGGGGCGGGGTGTTGGAAATTACATTTCCAAAACGAAATTTCAATTTTTTTCTGGTTGGAAACAACTTTGTGTTTTGGAATGTGTATTAAAAAACAACAACCCTTTTTTGTACAAATTCATAATGGTCGAAATTGAAATGAAATGATGTGATGGACCAAACCAAGATTTTTTTATACTGTTGAATTCACAATTTTTTTTGAAATTTCAGTGGTTCGTCCTGATTCAGAATGGGAAAAATGTTTGAAATCTCAAAATGTATCATGAGACAGGAAAACAATTTCCTGACCAGCTCTACTAGTGATTTTGGGCACCTCAGGGGATGCCCACATTAGGACATCGCAACTGGGCCTGATTCTCTGCAATTGCTGGGGATGTGCCATCTGAAAAGTGAGGGCCCTCTGAGGTGTCTCAGTCTAGCCACCCAAAATTGCCCTTCTAGGAACTAGAAATTGCCACATCAGATCAAACATCTAGCTAGATCAGTCCCAGCTGCAAGAAACCCTGCACTTCTTGGGTAACCTGTCCCCAGGAAAGATCCCATTTGTTAAGTTAGCACCTAGAGACCACACCAGAGCCCCATGGTGCCAACTGCTGCACAGACCCTGACTGAGATCAGGTCCCCATTGTACCAGGCACTCCACAGATCCCGAGTGAGATCAGGGCCCCAATTGTATAAGGCACTGCACAGACCCAAATTGAGACCAGGTGCTGCCCAGATACATAGTGATAGCAGTCTCTGCTCTTCACAATCATAATAGACAAGACAGACTGGGGGTGTGAGGAGAAAAAGATGAATGGAGAGAGGAAGTGACTTGCCCAAGGTTATGCATTGGGTCAGTGGCAGAGCAAGGAAAAGAATCCAGGTGTCCTGATTCCCTAGTCACTCTACTAGTCCACAGGGCCTGGCTGAGAGGTACTGCTTGGCTTATTGCCTGTGAGCTCCTTAGCCCAGATTTTTCTCATCACTGTGGCTTATGCTAATAGCTCTGTTTGTTATGATTTCAAACTCACAGGCAGACCGGCTTGGGTTTGAGCAACACCATGGCGTGCCTGGGCAGCATCATTACCCCATTGGTAAAGATGTTGGAGGAATACATTCCCTTCCTGCCACTGATCATTTATGGAGCTGCCCCAATCATCTCCGGCATTGCAGCGACCTTCCTGCCCGAGACGCTCAACGTGCCATTGCTTGAGACCATAGAGGAGGTGGAGACACGGTTAGTATAATCTATTGGAAGACAAGAACAGTAGCCATGACATACCTTGTGGGGGCTTTGTGATATAGACTTGGGTCCACTGAGAGAGAGAGAAAGAGAGAGCGCACAAACAAGAAATGATATGCATGATTAGATAGATAGATAAGAATGGCCATACTGGGTCAGACCAAAGGCCCATCAAGCCCAGTATCCTGTCCTCTGACAATGGCCAATGGCAGGTGCCCCAAAGGAAATTAATAGACAGGTTATCAAGTGATCCATGCCCTGTCACCCAATCCCAGCTTCTGGCAAACAGAGGCTAGGGACACCATTCCTGCCCATCCAGGATAATAGCCATTGATGGA